CCTCCTAACTCTGAAGTAGTCAACAAACATGAATAGCATACAGGTGAGCCTAGGCTGCCGTTTAATTTTATTTGGATAGGCAGCAGGATTTGGAACTGTTTGAGAATCTTTCTTCACTGTTCCCCAAGCCCTCTCCCACTTTTGGGATGCATTAAGTTCTATAATCCTGGATAAAGACAATATAAACTGGTTTTACTATGCAGTTGCCTCAAAAGAGGGGGAGAGAAGCAAGTGACAGCATTCTACTTGTTTTGCAGTAGCTCTGATTAGGGGCCAGCAAGATCAGGGTCCCACTGAAAAAGGCACTGCATAAAGGAACAATAAGAGAGTTACTTTCCCAAGAGCTTACAGTGAAGACAGACAAAAAGTCAGGAAATTACTCAAGTAATCTACAAGCCAAAGGACAATTAACATCACATCTCTTCCACCAATTCTCTCTAGACACAAAGCCAGCACTCTCCTAGCAGTTTTAGCTTCCTACAGGAAAAAGAGGTACCTCTGATCTTTACAGTAACTGTGTCAGTGGCTGTTCACAACCTAGATTCAAACTGTTCTGCACTGCTGAGATCTTCCTGATCTTCGTGGCTGCTGCGCACCTGTGATGGTTTGCTGCGTACAGGGCATTCTGCAAACACAAAGGTACTGCCAGAGTCAGCACTTTTCCTGTGGAAGGCAGCCCTTGGCAGTAACAATTTGCTTCTGATGTTTAAAATGGCTGATCTCACACCTACCCATTTCCTGGTCTTATATGATTTTCTCATGGGCAGACATTGCAATTCGTCACGTTAAAATTTCCACCTTCACATTGTAACACTATTTTGGCAGCACCACTTTTTAATTCTGTTGTCTCCAACTAGTAATAAGCATTACTGGCCCAAATTTAACCCATTAATTGAAATGCAGATAGCCAAGCTGTTCAAGTGGGAGTCTTAATTTCGAGTTTCAGAAAGTGCCTGCAGTGAAGCAATTACAGTCAAATAAAATATGCCAATATGATTTTATCTGAAATTTTTATTGAGTTTGAGTTCACTACCAGGAAACGAAGTGCGTATGCGCCATCTTATGGTCAACGAGAGTGGGTGCGAGCCCGCAAACCAGGCTTTCCAAAGGGCAACCTTTATATGGCTTGGTCCACCACCACTGAGGTTTTAACCCCTCTAGTAGTTTTACTCCCAGCTAAGTGCTCCATAGACGGTATCATATTTTTCATACGACTCACATTTAATAGATGTGAAATTATCACTTCAAATAGGGCACTCGGCAAATCTTACAGAATGAACATGCTTTAAAACTATAAAAATTACAGTATCCCAGGATACGTTGCAGCTTCTTAGGGTTATTTGCACTTTACATTAAAATTGATACAGTTGCAAAAACAGCATCTCAGTTGAATTTTGGTGTGTACTGTCTCAATTCTTTGCTCTCCTCTTGGTCCTCTTAAAAGGAATACTGTTTTGGTATTTCTGAAGTCCTTAAGAAAGAAATAGTGCAGGAACATTATTTGCCTGATCTCCTTGTTCTCTTAAGTCAAATTGCTTTAGGGTTTTTTGTTCTGTTTGTTGGCTGTTTGGGGTTTTTTTAAACACATAACTGGACCTAGCTTAGCCTCAGCATGTAGACATTTTACAGACAGGTAGAGTACATTTTCAGATGACAGGAGAGGAGATATTTCTCATTAGGAACAACCATATGTGAGCCTTGCCAATGCTTCATGAATTATCTAAGACTTGCGCCAAATAGCCATTGTTCTAAGTGTGCACATAATACACAAAGACAGCAAGGAAATAACTATTCTTACACAGTAGGAAAACAGAGCACTCGACTCGTGGTTGCTAAGGAATATGAACAGTGATGCAGAGATCTCCCATATGAATCCAGAGGGGATAAGCATCCAAACATTTGTACACTTTTTTTTTAATTTGTTTCAATAGGATGACACTGTAATTGGCTAAGAGACCAGACAAAGCCCACAGAAATCAATGGAAACCTTTCTTTTGACTTCTCTGGGCTTTGGTCTGTGCCACAAACTGCAACACTGACAGCCTGGAAATGCAAAAACAAGATTGCACAAAAAGCAGCTCAGATTCAATCTGTGTTTTCACAGCCAGCTCCCCACAGAAGTTTGGTATCTCTCCATTTGTGGCTGCTTGGGGACATAGCCAATATACTCAGTGGCTTTCTTACATGTTGCCATTTTCTAGGTTACTTCATATTTATATGCCCATCTTTTATTTTTGTCTGTACATCACACTATTAGAAGATAACTACCTAAATTTGAAGTTGTTCAGGCCATGAAAGTTAGTAACAAAATTTGATTTTCAGCGTAACAGCGCTCACATACCAACTAAAGTGAACAATCCTTTCTCACCTACATCACACTAGGAAGGATCTCTATTTCTATTTCAATTCACTCCATCTAATTATGGAGCCTTTCAGCAGATGCAAACACTGGACACAGTCACCCAAACTAAAGAGGAAAAAAGGTATCTTGTTACGGTGCCTCCTCTTTCTTCTAGAGCCATTTCACTCTTATACCTCAGCTTTGCCTTGAGGAGGTTTTGGAAGGTGCCAGTTAAAAAGTGCTTTAAGGACCAAGCACCTTAAAGCCTGGTGATTTACTGATTTAAAGCCTAGAAATGCTCCAGTGCTCATCCCTTCCAGCATTTTCACTTTCCTGCCTCCAAGCTAACTATGAAGACGTACATGCTGCAAAGCATGCCGGGTTTCGCATGTCCTTGCGTTTTTCAGACTACTTTATACCTAGACCCCTCTCTTCCATTTTGCACTCAGGAGCAAGGACCATGGCAGCCCTGAGGTGCTAAAGTCCAAAGCCGTGACTAGAAAACGACTCTGTGTCCCTGGACCTTTCTAAGTAGCACCAGCTAGTCACGTGTGTTGCACAAACAACAGCAGGTCGCACCCAGAGAGCGGGGGACCTGTCACGACACAGTTGATCCTGCTTTTCCTGGCACCAATCCTGCTGGTCTGTGGAAAAAAAACGTACTTTCACATGTCCCACTTCCAATTTTGATCTTAGTCCTCCTTCCTTTTATCAGCAGAAGCTTTAGCGAAAACATGATACAGTGGATTAGAGCATAACTCGGTTGAAAAACGAGAACCTTTTTGCTGTGCTTTAACCAAAGCAAGTTCCTTCAGCCCGCGGGGCTCCAGCAGAGCAGGCCCCAACGAGCGGTGGGGTCAGAGACTGGCTGTGCTGCTGCTACTGCTGCTTCACGAACCTTGGAGCACAAGGAAAACGGTACCCCCGGTTGGTCCGTTATCGCCGCCCTGGTGAGGTCTGCGAGACAACGCCGGGTTTAGCTCTCCTGCTCCACGCTACTGCCTCTTTTTGGCGATTTATAAACTAATAACTTTATTACAAAACTGACGTACTGACCGACCGCGCCAGGCCCACTAATCCGTCCTTCCGGACGAACGGAAAACGACGCGCGGTGTCCCCCACCGCCAACCTCCGCTTGTGGCGGCGGGCCCGCGCTGCCCCCCGGCGCCGCCCAGCCCTCTGCCGTGCCCGCGGCCCGGCCGCCTCCCCTCTCCCCGCACCGATCGAGCGCCAGCCCTCGTTTTCAGGACGTTACACCGAAGGAACCGATGGGGGAGCCGTGCGTTCCACGGCTTTTACACAGGATCGGCGCCCAAACCCGCTCAGCGGAACGCAACCGCCCTGCCTTCACGGCCGCGCTGCCTGCGGCTACCGGACCAGCTGCCGCCCCCCGACCCGCAGCCAGCTACGCCGGCCAGGCCCGGGGCCTCGGCGGCCCCGAAGCGCTGAGGGAGCCGCCC